GGCAGCACGGCCATGTCCCCAGCCACCCCAGCTGCCTGATTCTGCCTGCCGGAGCCTTCCTGTGCCGGCGTTTGGGGACAAGGGGGGAGGGGGGAACAGGACTGGTTCCATGGCGGTCGCCGTGCTGGTCGGTGTAATTTATATTGTGTATAAAAGCATTAAACAGTTGGTTTTGTTATCGGCTCTTCACCCTGGGGGCCTTGTTCTGCTACTGAGGAGGGCACGGGGCTGGCACGGAGAGGGGAGGGACAGCAGCCCCCCCCCCAACAGACAGCCTGGTACCAATCAGGATCCGTTTTAATCATTGTTGCAGTGTGTAAACATCAGTTACTGTCCATTAATGCTCTGTCGGGCTGAGCAGCAGGAGATACGTGGTTACAAGCCTAGATTATGCTGGCGTCTATGAGCGGGTTAGAGGGGACTCTGCGCGGAGCCCCCGAGACAGCTTACTGCACTCTGTCTCGGAGCACGAACCTAAATGCTAATTTGGCATTATGGAGCCTGCCTGGCTCTGCCCCCAGGCCGGGCCGGGCCCTGCACTGCAGCTCCAGGGCTCTGCCCGGGCCAACTGTTCAGGTCAAACGAGCCCTCTCCCAGCTGGAGCCAGCAGCGGGAGGAGTTCGGCTGCCCCCGCCCCAAGGCAGCTCCCAGCCCCGGGGAGCAGGGAAAGGTGGATGGAGCAGGTGAGAGGCACGTCGATTGCAACCTGGCTGCAGGTCGTACATTCCTCAGCGAAGGCCCTCGCTCAGGCCGGGGCTGTCCTGGGCAGGGGGCACTACAGATCCTCATCGCCAATGCCCTCGAAGGCGTAATTGCCGTGGAAGTCGTTAGCGCCCACGTCGTTAGCAGAGCTGGAGTGGCTGATCCCACGCAGGCTGACAGAAGTGAGCTTGCTCTGTGGAGAAGGGAGACGTTAGGGAGGACAGCCCCAGCTCCCCTACCCGCTTAGCCTGAGGTGCCTGCTGCACCCGCACACAACTCACCGAGAGTTTGGCCATGGGCTCCCAGGAGGCGTCAGGTGAATCCTGTGAGGGCAGCACAGAGCCATGGGACACAACACCCACCCCTCCTTCCACCTGCCCCTCTCCATCCCCAGGGAGTCTGGCTCACTGCAGGGCCTCTTTCCCTTCCCAGGGCTCTGGAAGCAGGGCACCACAGCCCTGCTGTCCTCTGGGCTTGCCCCAGCCCTGCCCCGGGGCAGTGCCTCCTCTGGAGGCAGCGAGTTCTGGTTCACAACCCGTCAGCACCGACTGCACGTGTCCCCTGCCCACGGCTCAGGGTCACACTCACCAGCAGCGGGGGTGACTTCACGGCTTGCTGGCTGTCCGAGC